AGAGCTTTTTAAGGACAAAAACCTGACAAATGTCTTGAGGTGTGGTAACCATAGTATAAGCGGAATAATTGACTCCGGTCTGTTGAATTATTAGAAAATAATGCACACCAATAATGCATTATATTCTACTCAACTCAACGGCCCGTCGTCAATTATCCTTCCATATAAATCTGTGAAGTAGAGAATGCTTTACAGGTGCCAATAATTCACTCTTAACCCTCACAGGATTAAGAAGCATTTTAGTTTAATGACACTCGTAAAGCCAGAGGAAAACCAAATCAATGCAACAATTACATAAGAATTATTTTAATAACATCTCATGAACTGGTGTTGTTTCAGACACAGAGACTGCGCAACTGATAAATGATGAAGAGATCCGGTGAACAGCCAGCGATTAGGCTTTCACTGGACAGTCGACCGATCGATTTCTCTTTCTTTCGCTCTCCCTGCGAGTATTGATCCAAGAGTCACTGGGACTCCAGGGGGTTAAACTCTTGAGCCACTGGCCACTCTCCATCCTCTTCCTAAAGGTCAGAGGTTAAGAAATGCCAAGTGCTCAGGGGGAAGTCAGTGTCTCCAGTATGTATTGACTGACGAAGGTGCCCATCTGTTTAACAGGTTAACTCTACATTAAAGACACCCTGGTTAGGATAATCAACAATATCGGGACAGCAGATGTGAAACGATGGTGATCAAAGTAAGGAGAGAAACAAAACATTTCTTTAGCCAGCTTATGATCTAAATACATGAAAGGGAAAAAAATCATATTGTACCGAAAACAGAGAATACAAACTCAGGCCTCTTGCAAACACGCCTGAAGATACTGTTTCTTGCTCTTGCACCTCAGCCTTTCCATCATGTGAGGCATTCAGAAGATAAATGTCTTAAAGAATAGATGACCTGACACAAGGTCTGAGCAGTAATGGGTGATATAGGGAAAACACGGCTGCCCGACTCCCATATATATCTGACAGGAGGCCACTGTCAAGCAGACGGATGAGATGATTTCCAAACCAACTCCGATCTGAGAGCAGCTTGCAATTGCTTTTCTGACGCTTACATAAAGTAGCATTTAACAAAAGGTTATTTCCGCGTATATTTTCAGTTGGACAAACTTATCTAGAATCAAATCCACGACAACTATATGAACCGAACAGTAGCTTCCGCTCCTCGTCAGAGTGTCTCAATGCGGGCGGCATTATTTATTGAAAAGCGGAAACCTTTTTAAGTGATATTCTCTAGCACAACAGCTGGTGGTATATCTTTTTCAGTTAGACAGTGTGTGTGTGTGTGTTGGCTGTCAAAGAGAATTAGGATGGGTGAAACGCAAGGCTTTTACGTGGATGCCTTGAATGGCAAGATGAGGACACTCAAAGATGATCTTCATGTAATATGCAGGGTCTAATCTGAAGCCCTATCACTGGCAATTTCCTGAACGGAGCTGATGCTTTGATAGCTGTTGTTTTACACTCCTTTCTTTTCCCTCTCACCCACATTCATTCTCCTTTAGCCTTCTGCTCTACTCTTTCTGCTTTAGTTGAAAATATTGAAGGAATGTTCAATGCAAGTTGAGCTCAATCAACATCATTTGTGGCATAATTTTACCACACAAAGTAATTTATTAATTTATATCAATAAAAAATAATTTATTATAAGTATCAATTTCTTTAAAGAGGGTTTAAAAACCGATATGTGAAGGCCATGATTTTGTCCAGCATTTATTGCACGCTAAATCATGAAAATGTATTTAAGCTGTAAATTTGTCTAAATCATCATTTTTGTTGTGGAACTACCATTCTATGCAAATTAACTTATTCATGCAAATGAACTGATTTAAGACAATGGTGTGGCAAACTAAGTGATCCTATCACAGTATTTTATTGTTAACATATAACAAGTATATATATTATTAATTATGATTTTATACACACACATAAATATATATAAATTCGTGCTGTCAAAATTAACGTGTTAACGCATGCGATACATTTTTTCAGTTTAACGCGTTAAAAATATTTAACGCAGGGGCGGAGCTAGGGTTGGCCACCCCACTCACAACTGCTGTTCTGTCTCATTTTTCTTGATAAGAATTGTGTTTATTTAGACGCAGATCGTCATCAAACGGGAGACTTTTCAGACGCGCACTCCGACTTCACCTCAGCGCCGGGCACGAGTCAAACGAGCATGGAAAAGATGAGGAACTTCAGCAGAACAACTGTGAACAGCGGTCAGATGAGATGCTGTCAGGCCATGTGTCAGTAAAAACGCATTTTCCTGTCCTGTCAGCCGTTATAATGTGCTCGTAGCGTGTGCTCTTCAATTGCACACACAAATGCAGTGGCGCGTGCTGTATATAATTTCATATTAAAGCGCAAATGAAACCACAAGCATGCAATGTCGTAGTTATGTCGTCAGTTAAGTCATGAAGTTACCAAAAAGGCAACTGAAGCTGCCTTAAAACTGTGCATGCATGCATTTGTTATACATGAGTCCCATTTAAGAATATGTCTCTGAAATGCAGTGGTTTTCCAAACTGTCCTGGAGCAGCCCAGCACTGTCTCCCTCATCTAACACACCCGATTCAACTCGTCAGCTCATTATAGAGAATTTAAGACCTGAAGCGGGTCAGAAAAGTAAAGAGTTGTGAGAAAATATGATGTGTGTCAGATCCGCATCATGTTCAGCAGCAGCAGCTCTTAAGCAGCCAAAATAACCCAATAACCCAGCTGTTAAAATCTTAAAATTAATAGCTCTCAATTATACTGTAATGTTGAATGGCTATAGTCAATGGTTAAATATTAGGGGGAAAAAAACAATTTCCTACAGACATCAGTAATATTGTTATCTGTGATACTCGCCTTCAGTCATAAAAGATGCCAGTAAACAAGTATTTAAAAAATACTGTCTTTATGTTGTTTCTACATTAATTTGAAGTGAATGAATGTGAAATTATTGCAATATAAAAGTATATTTAAAAACTTTAATGTTAGGTGGGATTAATCGCGATTAATTTCAGAAAAACCGTGTGATTAATTCGTTTTTATTATCGAATGACAGCACTAATATAAATACATAAATAAAATCAGAAATAAAGAAGAATTCAACACTCATTCATTACAGTCATTGTGGTATTATTTGCAACACTAGATACTTTCACATGCATATTTATAAAAAGAACAAAGCGCTGGAAAAACGGAATAAAAATAGAATACAAAGGTATATTAAAAGTCGCATGTGTCTAACGTAGCTCTATACAACTATCAATAAAACACATATAAGTGAAAAGCGATAAACCACAATAGGCTTATAGAAGATGATGAAAATTGATCCTGTGTTGGGAATAAAGGGATTTGTTTCAGAGAAATGCAATAAAATTGCAGTTAAGAATCTCTGTCTAACAGCAGAGCAGCTCTCCTGATCCTGAGTGATTAAAAACTAGTCTATGACCCTAACCTTTAACCTCTAGCCCCAAACCTACTCCATCTTGTACCATAGATATTAATTAGAAAATTTGTGCAGACGGTACCATATCCACCTGGATTCTATTTTGGGATGAGAAGGAAATGCAAGCAAAAGAATCTGAATCCATCAACATCCTCCCATACTTATTGCCTATTCTGTCAGCAAATACACTGCTTCACTTCCTGTCTACGACAACAGCATTTCCTGTGCAGGGATGTCCTGATTAACCACAGGATCAATGGGAGACCCTAAAGTTCTTCCAGACAGCTCTCTGTTTCCCAAATAAGAGAAACAAAATTAACCCCCTACAACAGACTGTGTAATTTAACTGGGGGTAAACAGGGCTCAAGACCTCATTTGAGCTTTGTCGCCTTTTCCACGGTTTCTCCCCACACAATAAAATTACATTTGCATCAGCTCTAAGAGAATTTAGTCGGGATGATTTATTGAAGTAATCAGCAGCAACGCAGCCTTTTCGTTGCAGCACAGGCCTGCAATGCGCCGCCGCTGGAACGGGGTTTGGGCCGGAGGCTTTTTTTCAGTGGAGGCAGGCAGAACTCAAATTCTCCCCTTTGATTAGATTAGCATTGCACAACAGCGTGACAGATATGACAAATAGGTGCATTAGAGCATGTCATATACTCCCTCTTTTCTAGATGCTTGGGTTCACAGAGGGACCCCCACCTCACGCCTCACTACTGCAAATATATGCGGCCCCTGACGCCCCGTCTGATGCCTGATCCCTCTGGATTACCTTCAGAGAGGGTTATAGGAGGACAAGAAGAGCTTTATTTCTGAAAATAAAAACACTAAAGAAAGAGGCAACGAGTGCTTGGTTATGTGTATTACTCATTTGTATGTAAACCAAACAAAATGATTGTCACTGAAAACCTGTAGTAGCCCTGACTTAATGTGTGTGTGTGTGTGTGTGTGTGTGAACTGACATAATATCACACACTTCAGCGACTCTCCTCCTCTAAGGGCAATCTATGGCTACCTCCATTAGCCCTCATCAAACACACTCAAAAGGGTGCATATGCTCACTCTCTCACCACACACACACACACACACACGCACGCATACTGGTTTCCATTTTTTGTGGGGTCATTCCATAGACCTGATGGTTTTTATACTGTACAAACTGTATTTTATATCCCCTTATCCTAACACTTCCCCTCACATACACAGAGAGCTCGGCTATTAATCCTTCATCTTACCTGCGTTAAATACTCTCGGCAAAACCCGATGGGGAGGACAATCGATCACAAAACACTATCAATGTTGCATTATCCTCTGTGACTGGCTACATGACCAAGGTCGTTACATTGGGTCAAGACCCCTGACCTTTGAACTCATATCAACAGCATTAAGAAGGGTTCCCTGGCCATTTTTCTGGACTTCTGTCTATACTCAGAGCTTAGTAAGACAGGAATCATGCTGGCAGTGTGAAGATAGCACTGCAACAATGGATTTATTAACAGTAAAGAAGAGAAGGGGGGGGAAAGAACAAGTGGAGGAGGGATGGAGGAATGACTTACCTGAGAACACAGCAGCATGACCAGTTCAACCACAGAACTGCTGGACTTCATGCACACAAGACCTGCAGAGAAAAACAGATTGCATTTCAGCTTTAATAGGTAAAAACTTTTAACCCTTACTGATAATTAAGATTTTAACCCTAACATAACAAATCTATTAATTTGTGATAATTACCAGCTAACAATAGAGTACTGAAATAGCTGATTGCTAAATACTAATAATTACATACCACTGTAAAAATACTGCAAATTATTTGACTTTTGCATAGACCCACCTGGATTTCATACATATTGAAAATAATTTGGCAAACACAAATGTTTTCTTCCCTCACTTACTAATAAACACCAGGCTGAACCCTTCTAATTCTGTTTTATGAGATTTCTTGCGTCAAATGTATTGAGGGAAATAAATTCCTCGGCATTAAAAACATTTCATTCTTCAGGGTCTGTTTTGCTGACACACTCACATTTGAGAGTGGTCTGATTCTGCACCATCTTGAGCGGTCAAAGAGTATTGATGACCTTCATGAACCTACATGATGCTACTGTAAACTAATACATGTTTGAGCCTTGTATTACATCAGACTAAATATGGTGAGCGTATGTTCTATTGATCTGAAATACAGCTTTAAAGAAGCTGCTAGGGAACTAGATAAGCAGAACGTGCGCAAGAGATTTAACATGAAAGCTAAAGATGAGAACACATAGGAAGCTGGAGGAAGAGGAAGGAAGGAAGCATTTTTGTTTTAAGTGGCTCTCCAAAGTCAGCTATCAATCAGCGTTTCATTTCTCTGGGAGGCAGTGGACGCTCGTATGAGTCTGTTGGCCTCTGACCCTGTGCTCTATAAAAGAACACTGCTATTATAATCATTGAGTTAAAAGATACTTCCAGCCACATTTACTGCTTAAATTTGGTTAGAGGTGAGAGAGGGGGTGTGAGTGATGAGATGTCTCCGTGTTTGTAAGCAATGATGTAAACCTCACTTTAAACCGTCAAACAGACTGCATTTGTGTGGATTATTCCACAAATGTCAGTAATAAGAGTAGAACAGTAGCTCACTGGTGCCCTCGATGAGCAGCTCCTGTCCGTGACTGCCCAGCAGTGTGCGAGAGAGGAACGGTGCGAAATCCACAAAAATCTCTCGGAGTAAAGGAGCTGCCTTCTCCAGAGCATGTTCCAACCTCTCTGAGATACTGAAAACACACACAAACACACTTGTAAATATTGCACAGACTGTGACTGAAATAGCTTTAAAAACAGCAGATCATTAAATCAAATCATGCATTTAAAAGAATGCATTCTGAAAATTATATCTAAAGCTATAGCTTGCTTATGATACAGCGTGAGATTTGAGTTTAAAGCAGAGACCTCATGTTGGGGGTGGAGCTCTGGGTCACTGGGGGTAAAGCAGGGACAGATGGCAGGTTGGAGCTGGTGGAGGTTCCTCCTGCAGAGAATACAGCCAGTAAACAACTCGTTACCCAAATACATGCACGCCAAACAAAACAGATGCATTAATCTAAAACAAGCACATGTTCCGTGAATGAACCTTCACTAATTCGACAGATTAGAGCTGGGTGTTACGACTGTAAATAATTTTACTACAAATGCTTATACTAGCGATATAGAGAGACTGGAGACAGATCATCTTGACAAAAGAATTATGTAAATAATAATTTAAAAAACGATGTAAATATCTGTACTGCATTATATAGGTTTTTAGATGTTTTTTCTGGAAACAAAACTAATCAATATTGATATTGTTTATAAAACATATTAGTCTGTCAGTAATTGTTATTCCCATTTAGTTCAATTAAAACAGGCACTGTAGCCAACTGCAGTAGATTTACAATATTTTATGCAAGGAAATAGTTAAAATCTAGTTCAAAATAATCAATGCACTGTTTTTTAACGCACATGAGAAGTATATTTAATCACTGCAATTTATAAGCATCATTTAACAATATACAATAATCCATATTCATTGCTGTTCAAAAGTTTGAGGTCAGTAAGAAATTAATACTTTTATTCAGCAAGGATACATTAAACTGATCAAAAGTTACTTATAATGTTACAAAGGATTTCTATTTCAAATAAATGCTGTTCTTTTGAGTTCTTTAAGTTACTGTAACTTTATTGCGTTATCCTTGACAAGAAGGTTGTAACAGTGAATTGCTACTTTTTGTGTCAAATAAACTCAACATACTATTCATCAAAGAAACCTGAAAAAAAAAAAATCAAGATTTCCACAAAAATATTAAGCAGCGCAACTGTATTCAAGATTGATGGTAATAATAAGAAAATTATATTATAATAATCATATTTTAATAAATTATATTATAATAATTACGTCATAATAATATTCATAATATTACTGTTTTACTGTATGTAATTTTATATTTATTTATTTATTTTTCTTTTTTTATTCATTCATTTATCCATTCATTTATGGTCAAATAAATGCAACTTTGGTGAGCATAATGTCATAATAATATTCATAATATTACTGTTTTACTGTATGTAATTTTATATTTATTTATTTTTCTTTTTTTATTCATTCATTTATCCATTCATTTATGGTCAAATAAATGCAACTTTGGTGAGCATAAGAGATATTCAAAAACATTAAAAAAAACTGATGAACCTTCAGAACCATTTATTCTACCTAAGTTTAAGCAGAGACTCTATTAACACATCTATGTAATCACTGTTTCACTCGCTAGACGAGAAAGGATTGTTAAATTTGTCAAATGACACTTAAAAGCATTAAAATAAATCACAATATTCACAAGGTTCCTTAATGTTATATAGTCAGTAAAATCATTGTGAATGTTTTGACACTATCCACAATATTCAGCGCTTCTAACAACCTCGTAAAATCACCCTTTCCTTCTGCTATCTACAACACTTTCATATAAAGGACAAGAGCGAAGATGTATGTTGAAGCTCTGACACCATGTGAAAGGAGCTTCCGCTGAATGATAGCTCTGCTCTCGTTAGCATTCGTGTAAAATAAGCATTAGAGCAGCTCTTACACTCCTCCTGATAAAACAGCCCATAAATTCATTAGCCCTGTGTGTGGCTGTGATTGGTGTACTAATACTTATATGCCAATAAATTTCATCTTGCCCCCGTAAAGGTCACATTTTGGGCTAGTGAAGGTCTTGGCATGACCATGCTCTCTCTCTCAGGATATCACACCACAATAAATCTGCATACGCTAATATCTCTACACACACACACACGTGGGGACTCAGGGCAGGGATAACTCTTGCAGCAGTGTGGAATGTTTCTTTAAGCACCAACATGTGCGTCTGCGGAGAGACTCACGCTCGCAGATGAAGTAGCCACTTCAAACAGCTCGGAGAAAATGAGCTTATCTCTATTCAGCTGGGACCTGCCCCTCTCCTTACACACACACACACACACACACACACACACACACACACACACACACACACACACAAGAGAACCATAAAAATCCAGACAAGCTTAAAACTACAAGCATGAGATATAGACCCATGAGTACACTACTTCAAAAACACGAAAAGCTAAAGGGAACTAAAAACAATCCCTTCATGCACAAAGGATCGTGTGTGCATGCACATGTTGGTTTCACAATAAAAGAAAATCTCATAGACGCAATGATTTTTAGACAGAGGTGATGATGTTGGCTACAATTCAAATGCAGCCCCTAATCATCACACAAACTTGTTGATATGATTAGAAAAACATGAAAAACATGATTTGGTCAATGTATGAGGATTTCAAATTGTCATTAAGGCATCATTTGTGACATGTTTCTCTATATGTGTGAGGGCATTTTCAAAAACTTTAGCCCTCAAAAGTACAGCCAAAACTATACACACAGTAGCACTGGATTGATTTCGAAATGTTATCATATCTCTGATATCTCAGTACTGATACTAAACTGAAACTGTTAACTTAACCATCAACTAGGGATGGAACGATTACCGGTTTCACAATAAATCAAAATTAAATGCCCTGACGGTTAGTATTATCGTTTAAAATTGAATTATCATCAAAACCGTATTTGATTATTGCGATTTTGAAAACTCGCGGTAAATCCTGTCCAGCCAGCATCAGTCTGACGCAGAAGCAGCATGCAGTGTTGTTGTTGTTTTTTGCACGAGACGAAATGGAGGAAGGCAGTGACAGCGCTCGGGAGATTTTTCAGCCATCTAAGAGGACCAAATCGGTGGTCTGGTCGTATTTTGGCTTTTACAAGAGTCCTGAAGGCAATTTAATCGAGGACCGTGATATGAAATTTTCATACCGTTACATCCCTACCATCAACTGATGAAATGAAACTAGAACTGTAAATAGATTCAATAATTGATTGCCATTAATCAATGGGTTATCTGATTTTAATCCATTCAATCACGTTTTACGCAAATAAAACATAATAGTAGATGCTTCTGTTAAGTTATACTACAAAAGTTTGGGCTCAGTGAGATTTTTTAAAGAAAAAAAAATCTTTGTTTTTAAAGAAATTAATACTTTTATTGAGCAAGGATGCATTAAATGGATCAAATGTGACAGTAACGACATTTATAATGTTACACAAGAGTTCTATTTAAAAAAATGATGTTCTTTGTTTCTATTTTGATTTCTGAAGCAGGGCTCAAAGCTAAGGATTTTTCTACTGGCCCAAATTTGCACTTGCCCTGCCAATATTTTCACTGGCCCTGCCACAAAAAAATTTAAATAGTTGCTGTTATCATTGTTTTTGACCCATGTTATCTTTTATTCTAATAGATGAGCTAACAGCAAACATAAAGTTCAAACATTATTAAAGACAAGTGAACAGTCAGTAAATAAGAACAAATGAACAAATTACAAAGCAATAGCACAATTTAATATATAGAACAAAGACAAATGAAATGATGCTTTAGGAAAAACAGCAGACGGGCTGAATGAGACGCAGATTCACTTTCTGACAGCAGGTGGCGCTTATGGAACAGCAGTAATACGCCGTTTCTTTGGTTGCTGCTGTAAACAAAGCAGTGCTGCGCTGCGCTTAAACATTACTTTAGATGCATTATACAGAGGCAAATGAAAAGAAAATACCATCTAAACTTTTCTGAAGACAGTCACTTCCTCTCAGAGATACATTCATATAAACCCTAAATCAATATTTAGGATTTTCTTCCAATACTTTGCGCATCGTGAACAGTGATCTTGCTCTGCCTGTACAGTATTTTCTCCTCTTTGTGTCCGTCTTCAGCATCTCTGGCCTCTGTTAACGGCCGTTTACACACTTTGTAATATTTCCACACAAATGACATTTTGGAAAATGATTACAGTGCAGTTTGTGTGCAAGCCCGGAACAGAAATCGGCTGAAATGCAACAAAAAATAGCCGGTCGACCGGTGCATCTGTACTCCATTATTTAAATTAAATACAGATTAATCATTGTTAAAGCTACAAAGTTATTTTGACATACTTTTGTATGTATTTGTCTGTTCAAGCACAAGAATGCGCACTGCACACACAGAACACAGGCCTCGAGTACTGAATGTAGCTGTCTTTCGCGTCTTGCTTGAATGCTTTAAAATCGCTTTGAATTTTTAAGGAGCACGTGCAAGTGCAAATGATAAACTTTCATGACTTTCAGTGACAAAAGTATATTGACTTAGAATGCCCTACTTTACTGTCATAATGAGTGAATATTGTCAAAAAATACCACATTAAATAGTGACTAAACACGACCCCTTTTAACCCTTTGATGCGTACGATCACACCGGTGTGATTAAAACTTTGAGTGCGTCACGTCATCAACTGCTGAATTTAAATCCGTTTTCGCGCTTTGCCTGGCGCAGAGCCAGATCGGACGCGCTAAGCGCTTGTCATATCACAAATATTCATTGTTTTCTTCAACATAATACTTATTTTAGGATTCAGACATTTACATACACATAAGTACTAGCAAAACCGTACTGAATGTAGCTGTCTTTCGCGTCTTGCTTGAATGCTTTAAAATCGCTTTGAATTTTTAAGGCTTAAAAGCACGTGCAAATGATAAACTTTCATGACTTTCAGTGACAAATTCGTCAACTGTCCCGAGCGTCTTTCACGCCGGTCCCGGGTCATCGGGCAGTCCTTATTGTCAAGCCCTGCTGAAGGATTATGTGACACTAAAGACTGGTATAACGGCTGCTGATAATTCAGCTTTGATCACAGGAATAAATAGTATTTTTGTAATAATATTAGACAATATTACTGTTTTTACTGTATTTCTGATCAAATACGCTCTCTGCATCGCGCACAGCGGAGTTCCAAAACATCTCCAGAACTGCTCTGAGAGTCACTTCATGAGCATTTGACCGTTTGATTTGAGTAAAACTATCCTCATATCATATACACACAGAAATGTAAAGGTATTCATGGCAACCTGTCAAAATAAAAGTTTGGTTTAACTTTAAGGCATTGCGGCAGAAATATATTAGCCTACTATTGTTCAGTAGAATGTACGTAACAGGCTGCTACTACTACTAACAGAATTTCTGAGGGGGGAAAAAAATCATAAGTCTATTGTAAGAATAAATGAAACTTGTTTTTATGCTTTCAAATAATTAGACATGCTAAAACACATAATTTGGTAACAATAAAACATAAGATTGGAAAAAATAAAACATTTTTGGGCCCTAAACATGTAATTTTTGTTAAACTTTTAATAAATTGATGTTAAACTGTTTAAGTTTCATGATTTAAATTAATTAGACATGCTTTTTGATTAATAAAATTTAATTTAACCATTAAAAAGGAGTCCAGAAAAATTTAAACGGAAAAAAACTGAATCCCCCCCCCCAAAGCCGTAACCCTAGGGGAAACACTGATATATATATATATATTAGGGCTGGGATAATAAATCGATGCATCACGAATCGAGAAATGATTCTGCATCAATTCTGAGATTTTCCAAAGGCATCGCAATTCTCTCTTTAATCAATTCTGAGCTTAGTTTTTAACAGCAGATGGCACTGCGTGCTTTAGAAATAGCCATGTTCTGCTTGCTTCCAGTTCCTTACACACGCACCACTTGAACCTAAAATAATCATTCATAAAGTTCGAAAAGGTTGAAGCGAATTACAAGGATGTTTACAGTGGGCTGTGTTTACATTAATCTCGCGTCATAAAAGCCGATGTGCAAGTACATTTAACCACTTACATTACTCAGCCGAACGCACAACGGCTGTTCTTTGTGAGCATTTGAGTGTGCGGTTAAAAACTAGACTAGAGCGCCATCTGCTGTTAAAAACTAAGCTCAGATTCGCTTCCAGAGAGAATAACGATGCATTCGGAAAATTGCAGAATCGATCCACGAACTGATTTATCGTCCCAGCCCTAATTTGTACTGCTTCAGTATAGCACAAATATATAGCTTTGTAATTTGGCAAGGTGTAGTTATTGACATGATCTTTCATGAAGACCCTCACCTGGGGCGGACTCTGTGCTCTGAACAGCTTCTCCTGCAGACACCACTGACACACTGTTGTCTGTAGTTTCACCTGAGGATGCAGCAGTGGCTGATGGGACGGATGCAGCTGCGGAGACTGTACTCATTCCTGGTGAGGGAGTCCCACCCATTTTCTTAGGTGCCACAACAACACTCCTGAAAAAGAATGACCAAGACAACAGTTAATCAATCATTATTATTTAAAAAAATTTTTTTTTTTTGTAGGTTGAATGGTGTACTTTTAAAAAAGTTTATGCTTGCATTAGATTGTGAAGCCTTTTTAATGTATTTTCTAATAGAGGGAAAGCAGACTCTGATGCTCTGATAAATACGCAGAGCTAGAGAATCAAGTACTCTGTCAAAAAACCATTAGCTCTGGTTCCATCGACGGCCCTGTAACGATCAGACTGATGATGTCGGCTAAATATGCTGCACATAATGTGATTTAGCATAAAAAGCCGCCCAGCTCACACAGCACAAGAAGCCCATTTACCGTGTTAGTGTAATTAGAGCCCTGTTTCCCTCACACAAAATATTCCATAATGGCAGCATCTATCTTCTGACCAATCAATGGCCTCCCAGCTCCTGTCACTCCAAAACTCTGTGATTGATTAAAGCTGGCGGTGTGTTATGCTCTAGATGCTACTGTGTGTCGCTGTACAATGTCATGTCGTGTGATTATCTGATAAACAAGCCGTTTTGCGGTAAGTTAAAGATTAAAGGACTGAAAATGTCTCAAAATTCCAGTTCATTTTCAGGGTTGTGCTCCGTTTACAGTATTAGGCTAACGTTTGGACACACTTAGCTGAATGTATGTTTCTCATGATATGATCTGGCGATTTATGCTTAAATGCTTGAAATTAGTTTCATATAAATATTCATTCACTCAATATTTTTTTCTTTCCTGTGGGACTTAAAAAGAGAAATATTTTGATGATTCTTCATGCATCTTTACAAGGACAGTTTATAATTATCACAAAAGGGCAAAATAAAAAAAACTATTAAACTATTAAAAACTATTCCACCAAAAGACTCTAAAAGGTATCTCATCCACGCTCACATTCAGAGAAAAAAAAAAAAAAGCTCTGACGCCATCGACACCACTGAATTCAAACCGTCATAGGCTCTTGCTTGAGTTGTATTTAAAGTCCATGCAAAGCAATATTAAATATGTGTTCCGAGTTGATAAAAAATAAAAAGCCAAGTAAATAAAATAAGTTATCAATATCTTGAAAAAATAAGCAGTATTCTCTGCTCTCAAATGCTGGGGGTGTGTCCTCTGTCTGCGCTGAAACCACGCCCACTCGCGGGAAAGCTGCCGTCTCTCTCTCTCTCTAAATACCGCTACAACCTGAATGGATGCTCCCTCTAGCAGCTTAATTCAAATAAGGAGACCGAGCTGTTTTGTAAATTATCGCAACCAGGTAATATGCATTTACGTGAGGAAGGCATAGCTAGCTAGCAGACTGTAGGCTGTAGTAACTAACGGTCGAGATTGAGCGGGCGAACCACTGATGCTAATGCGCTCTAGTTATTAGGCGTGTTCGACTTGAAGCAGCGCTGCGCAGATCGATCGGTGTTTGACATCAAAGTACCGTGAGAGCGATTCGAAAGCATAAAGAGCCGTCTGCTCTCTTGATGTCATACAACGATCGGTCTGCGCAGCGCTGCTTCCAGTCGAACACACCTCTTATAGT